GTCCTTAACTCTGCTCACGGCTGGCTGTTGACAGAGTTCTCACCCCTCAATAGTATTCACACGCACACATGGCCTCTCCAACACGTCTGCACTACTCCACTGGTCAGCGTCACCCGCAGGACCAGTTTTCAGTATCTGCATGGGTTCGGAGTTGGTCCAGCCTGAGCAAAACACGAGGAGTTGAACACAGGAAGAATGCGAGAGACATCCCCTCCTTCTGCAGAGCAAATGGCTCAGAGCTCTCTCTGTCTACGGAGCACAGAAGGGCGAGGCTCTCCACGTGCGGCCTGACTACAGGCCTGTGTTGCCGCCGAGTGGGCCCCACGTGGTGACCCCACGTGTGCAGAGAGGCCCCAGGGGTGTCCAGGCTGTGGCCTCTCAGAAGCAGCCGGCAGGCCTGTCTCCCAGGTGCCCCCTTGGTTTCTGTACAGCAGGAACAATTCTAGAAGCTATCTCCCAGGGTGAGAGGAATCAGTGAGCTGAAGTGTGCAGGGCACTGTGACAGACATGACAAGCTCTGACAAGCATTCAGCAACGGTCGCTGCAGCACGCTGTCCACAGGAGAGCAGAACACACTGCCGTGCTCACGTCCAGGTGGCTCCAGTCAACCACGTAATCTGGAATCAAACATTTGTAAACACCAGACTTCCGGTTATCAGTCAGTCGTGGCTAGCCACACTGTCCTCTGTGTTCAAACGTGTGCTTGCTCATATTAAGCTGTTTGGCAAAAAACACGACCAACTCCCATGCAGCAAGGTCATTAACAGGAAAACTACACTCGTATCCTTGGTAACCAGAGTCATTACCGTTAGCATTATTCCAAGCATTTCAGTGCCTTCCCCTTGCTCTTCCCCCACTCCTGCTCAGCACAGCCAGTACCCACTTCCGGGCACGCAGGGCTGGAGAGCTGAGTTGTCCCAAAGTCCCTTCAGAAGCAGGGGTTCCCGTTGCTACTGAAGGGGCGTGTTCAAGCCACAGGCCTGGCTCACACTCCTGGCTGAATTTCTTCTACCTCTAGGTGAAAGCTACTCATCCAGAGGCCAACATGGGCTCCCACTAGTTCCCTCCAGCTAGGCGAGTTCCATTCCCTCCTTCACGGGATTTTCTTCAGTGGGACTTGGATGCTGACGCCCCGTCACGTCCCGTCAAACTCTGGGCGGCAGGCAGCAGAGCACGGGCGGCTGCCAGGGCTGTGCCTGCCCTCACTGCATGCGCTGACACGCCACCTCACCTACGTTGCCATGAAGGTCTCTGTTAGCTGTGTGAGACTCCTGGGGACTGACTGAAATGGGCGCCAACGTATTTCTTTGTTCCCAGCTGATCTCTGGGCAGCTGGCACAGGTCGACCTAACATCACCCGGACAGGTGTGCACTGTGTGAAGCCATCTGGTTGGTACGGGTTAGCCCTCTCCTCTAGCAAGGCAACAGCCCCTGGACAAGAAACACCCAGGCGAGTCCTGGGAG